ATGGGAAAGTCTGCTGTTAGGGACCTCTCTAAAGTACTCAAGAGCAATGGTGTCTCTCTGAAGACTAAGGTGCGTCTGCTACAGACCATGGTTTTTGCAATCACTTGTTATGCATCAGATAGTTGGACAACGAGTAGGGAGGACAGAAGGAGAATTGGTGCCTTTGAGCTGTGGTGCTGGAGACGAGTATTGAATGTACCATGGACTGCCAAGAAAACAAACAGATTCATCCTGGAGAGGATTAAACAAAGCAACTCCTTGGAGGCAAGGATTCTGGGGCTTCGTCTGACATATTCTGGGCATGTTGCAAGGAGGGACAGGTCCTTGGAAAGGGAAATCATGCTTGGGAGGGTGGAGGGACGGCGCAAGAGGGGAAGACCCTCTATGAGATGGACTGATTCAGTGACTGGGGTAATCAGGATGGGTGTGTCAGAGGCAGTCCGATTGGCACAGGATAGAGCAGGGTTAGGGCTGTTGTACATAGGGTCGCTATTAGTCGTAAACAACTCGACGGCACATAACAACAACAATGTCAAACTAAAAACTCACTGTCTTTCAGTCAGTTGTGACTCATGGCAACCGTTCACTAAACATCCAAAGCTGTAAAATGCAACAAGAGAAGCCTGACAATCTTTCTCTCAAGGAGCTGCTGGGTGGTCTGAACTGCTAGATTTGCACAGTCTCGATTAGTAGCAAAAACTCCTACAGACTACATCAAAGAAAGCAGTCACAAAAGACCACTTATACGATTCCATTTATATGAATAAATGGATGTGGGTAAGTACAGAAAGTAGAGATTTTAGGTGCCATGAACTGAGAAGTAAGTGCTGCCTCTAGGTTAGCACCACAGCTAACTACAACTATGTCATTAGGATAGAAGATAGAGATAATTCTTTAAATAACCCATCCAATAACCTCAACTATTTCACTCTTAAACTGTTCCATGAAATGAACATGCCACGTCTTTTATTTGGGTACATTATTTTTCACACCTAGCTTCGTGTAACAATTTTTACTCCAGGGACCTCTGGTGGCCTAGTGGATAAAAATTTTTACTCAATGGTTTACCAAGAGAGATTCATTCAATTATTTATTAGATAAAATGTGGGAAAGATTGGGAAGAAACTGGTCCAATGTCAGCTTCCATATACCTACTCTCAATAAAGGAGATACCATATACTAACCCGAACCCAAATGCAATGAGAGACGCAGAGTTCCAAATGAGGCTGTTCTCACCTCCCAGTCCAGGTAGTCACTGGCATCCTCGAAGTTAGTAAGGAGGGAGACAGAGCAGAAAAGTTTAGGCAGCTCCTCTCGTGTCAGGGGGGGAAATCGGCTGTCCTTAAGTGCACTAGAAAGGACAAGAAACACAGCTTAGGCTACTCTGGCATTGCAGGTCAGCAACTCATGCCAGAGAAGAGTGACAGTCACATGGTAAACGTCTACCATTTATCAACACTAACCTGCTAAAACAATTGGGTGATATGAATAGATTTAACTTTAAGTGACTCATCAAACTAACATTCTCTTTGTTTTCTGATTATCAAAAAGAGGATGTTAAAAATTCAGTACTTTATCCTGTACCAGTCAAACCCAATTTGACGACACACACGCAAAAAAAAAATTCCGTATTTTATGGAAATAAAGTCAGTCAACAAACCCTAATACCAGCAAACTTAATCTGTAATTCTTAACAAATGGTATTATTACCTGGTTAATGTGTATTCCCTGAGTCCTGAGTGAAGATTCATGGCTGAGAAGGTTCCAATGCAGCCACGAAGCCGCTTGTCCCGCCCTGTCTTCCATGTTACAAAGAGTGGACTACAAAAGGAAAACATAAAATATTCTCCAGACCCATATCAATCATAAAAAAACAAAATCTTTTGTTGTTGTTGTCCTATTATTATTCCCAAACAGGGTTGCTTTCTCAGTTGCTGGCTATCTGAACGGGCTTTTTGGAAAGTATATGGTCCCTGCTGAAAAGAGGGAAACTCTGCAGAGTAGTATGAAATAATATTCTCTGTACTTCCTTTGCTATGGTCCTGCTGCCGTTATGCACCCTAACACGTAAATCTTCTGCTTAGGAGTTAACCTTTTTCTTCATGTTTGTCTTCTTTACTTTTATGACCACTCATACTCCTCAGCTTCATTATTATCCTTCACAGAACACAAATGGCTTGGAAACGGTTCTGTTTCTGCAGGTACCCTTTGCAACACCACATTGTTCCTATGTCTGTCCTTGGCAACTACTAGTATCTCTTGCCTATAAATTTTCAGAAAAGAAAACCAATGCCTACTTGAGAAAGTTTTTATTAGCAGAAGTTGCCCAATCCTGTTTCCAGGCCAACCTCAGACTTGACTAGGTTAGGGATGCTGTGGTTGGTGGTCGAGCAGATTCTTTAAGAAAATGGTTAGAGATGTTCTCGCTTTTAAAAAAGTTCTGCCTTACTCCAATATTCTTGGGTTATTAATCACTGTAAAAGATCAAGTTACATTCTAAAATATGTTTCTTTTATTAGTATTACAAAGTCTCTCAGAAAAACTTTCTCCAATAAAAGTTATTACCGCAAACCTTAGGCAAAACTCACTAAGATTTCTAGTGCTTACTAGAGAGAAAGAAGAACCCTTGAGTCTAAAAGCCCAAACCTTACCCAACCAAGCCCTGCTCTTCAACTCATGTCCCTCTCCTATATGAGTAACTCTGACCCCACCTATACACAGAACTTCCTCTTGGAGAAAGCATTACTCTGTAAAGTCATCCCATTCTCCCTTCTCAGCAATAATCACATAGGCATGACTGCCCTGTACTCTTAAATTTGTGTGTGTGATTTGCCAAATCAGTGCCAAGTTTCCTGAAGGAGATTTCTCTTCAGATACCCTCCATAGTGTGTTAGTGTAATTTTAGTAAAAAGGTGAGGAATCATCTTAGGTCAATGAATTTTTCAAGAGCATTTCCTCACAATGAAGAACAAAAAGAATCAATGTTGTTCAAATGCAACCTGGTAGCCTTATTGAATCTAGGGGATGGATTCAATTTTTAATATTATCGGGGCTTTTCTCAGTCTTTTATTCCTATTGCCCTTTGCCCAAATGATGTTATAGCTTTTCTTTCTCTCTCTCTCTCTGCTGGATTTACTCACTAGGGGTCATTGGTGAATCTAGGAAGCCGTGGCTGTGGGAAGCCATAAAGGTGACAGTAGAGCACGTCAAAGCAGTAGCAGCACATCTCCGCAGTCACCACCAGGTTCTTGGTGGTGTTAACAGTTCCGTTGGGTCGGGGGAGAGGGCTCAGGGCTCCCGATGCGGGATTCATTCGTGTAATGGGGGAGTTTCCAGGCCCCAGAGTTAAGTCGGACACATTCTCCCGTCCACTGTTGCTGTCCACATGCTGGTGATTTTGAAGAGGTCCTGAACTAGAGCCAGGCACAGTTGTAGACTGGTTCCCGTGACTATGTGTTCCACTTCCAGATAGTTTGGGTTTCTTTACCCCACAACAGCCTGCTGCCAACTTGGGCTCGAGTGGAGGAACACAACGTCTTTTTCCCATCCTGATTTCGTGCTTGAGGTTTGGAAAGCTTCAGAACCCTAACCAAAAAGATAACAGCTATGCATTAATACAAATGTTTAGTTAAAACAAACAACAACAAGAAGAAAAAACAGTCTACACAAAAAGAGTAAGTGGTTCCACACAAATCTCTAATTTATATGGTCACAAAGGGTCATACACCAACAGAATTATAAAAGACTTTGTTCCTAAAGAGGAACTATTTTTTATTTTCTGTAGTGTGTATGAACATTAAAGATAAGGCAGGCAAAATCTCCCAGATTAAGAAAAAAAAGAGTGAACTGTCTGCTGGCTGAAGCTGGATGAAGACATAAAGAAACAGAATGATGACTACACTTGAGATGTTGCTCTTCATCAGGCGGCCCTCTCTCTCTACTTGTCATGTCCCAGAATATTCTACTTTTAGCGTTAAGGACTCTCCTTCATAGGGCCACTATGAGTCACTTAACAACAATAACATCAACACAGAAAGAAATCAGTTGGCCCACTGGACAGAAAGTGATGCTACCAAGCCAAAGGTGGGTGACTTTTAATCCACGGCCCTCAGGCCAGTCTTTCATTGTTTTTGTTCAAACATTCCTCTAGGTCATACGGCCCTGGTGTGTCCCCTTGCTCTACACTGGTAACTTGTGGTTGCTGTGAGGCTGAACACTGTGATACTGATGTGTCAAATGTGTTAATGGTTGGTTATCCAATGCGGACAGTGTGGTGTGGAGCTCCCTGATTAAAACAAGCTTAGAAGCAGGAGTGGCATCCACTTCCATAATAGCTTGCCTCTGGAAACCCTATGAACCTCGAGAGAGGATGAAAGACACACAAGCGTTGAGGACTCTCCTTCATAGGGTCGCTATGAGTCACCTGCAATTCGACGGCACTTAACAACTTCCACATTTCATCTCAAGAATTTTCCTCTTTTTCCTTTTTAGCCATTTACTTTTAGCAATTAAAAAACCTCAACAAAAGAACAAAAAGAAATTAAAATCTACATGGGTAGTTTCAAGTGGAGAATGTAATATGAATGACTATGTAAACTAGTAAAAATACGAGCTATGGAATAAAAAAAGATGTGGCATCATCAGGATTGGAGGGAGACTTATCAACAACCTTATTTGTAAAAGACAGATGTATTACATCTCAGTATTAGAAAACAAAAATTCTCGCCACTAGCCACATCATGATAAATGGAGAAAAAGACGGAAGCTGTCAGTGATTTCATTTTACTTGGATCTACAATCAAAACCTATGGGGAAGTAGTAGTTAGTTAAAAAACCCAAAGAAATATTGCACTGAGCAAATCTGCTGTCAGGGACCACTTTAAAGTGCTAAAGAGAAAAGATGTTAGTTTAAAGACTAAGGAGTTTTTGACCTAATCTACAGCATTTTTAACTGCTTCCAATGCATATAAAAGACAATGAAAAAAGCGGACCAAAAAGGAACTTAATACTTTGAATGGTTAGCTTTGAATTGTGCTGCTAGTGAAGAGTATTTACCACAGCCAAAAGAACAAACAAATCTGTCTTGGAATAAATGCAGCCAGAGTGGTCCTTACTGGCAAGGACAGTTAAGACTCTGTCTCACATACTACGGGCATGTTGTCAAGATGAGGCATTACGTAAAAAGGGACATCATGTGGGGAAAAGAGTCAGAGGAGGAGAGGTGGACTGACACAGTGATTACTGCCTTGAGCACAGCTGTGATAAGGATGGCACACCATAAGACAAGAGTTTAAATCTATTACACATAAGGGTTGCCTGGGAACCCTGGTGAACTAGTGGTAAGGAGCTGTGCTGCCAACCAAAGGTATGTGGTTTAAATTCACCAGTTGCTCCATATAGGAGGAAGACAGGTAATCTTCTCTCATACAATTTACAGTTTCTGAATTGGAAAGTCAGCTATTTCAACTCAATGACACATTAACAACAGATGCGTCAGAGCTGACTACATGACCAAGGTCTTGTCTCTTGTTTGTTAAGTATCAGTACTCAACAAATGAGAAATTCTGCTCGTTTGAGAGAAGTACTTTTTCCAACACCTCTCACACATATACAGAGAAAACAGAGTTGGAAAAAACTATGTTACCTCAACTTTTGGTTCTGATTTAGAATAATCTGTTCTATTTAAGTATTACTCTAAAATATAACATTAAGTTGTAAATAGAATAACTCTTAAAAATAGATAACCATGTAACCATTTGCAAAGTCATTGCTTGTACTAAAATAAATGAATCATTTTATATTAAATATACAACAAAAAGCTATTCTAAAAATAAAAGGGGAAAAAAGCTATTCTACTGCTGAAGAGCATTCAAAAACAACTGGAGCAGTATACAGATAGGCAATTGCCATAAGTGCAAACAGGAGTTAGAAGAGGCGATGGCACCAGGGTTATCATTGCTGATGTCAGATGGATCCTGGCTGAAAGTAAGAAATAACAGAAGAATGTCTATTTGTGCTTTATTGACTACACAAAGGCATTTGACAGTGTGGATCATGACAAGTTGTTGCTGACACTGAGAAGAAAGGGAATCCCAGAGCACTTTATTATGTTCATGCAGAACCTATACTTGGACCAGGAGGCTGTTGTGCGAACATAAGAACAGAGCAGGGGAGCACTACATGGCTTGGAATTGGGAAGGGAGTGAGCCAGGATTGTAATACCTATTCAATCTGTATGCTGAGCAAATTGAGAAGCTGGACTCTATGAGGATTGGAGGAGGACTCATCAATAATCTGCATTATGCAGATGACACAACCTTGCTTGTTAAAAGTGTGGAGGGCTTGAAACACTTTTTGCATATCAAGGAATGCAGCCTTCGGTATGGACTGCATCTCAAAGTTAGAAAAACAAAGATTCCTACCACTGGACTGATAGGCAGCATCATGATGGATGGAGAAAAGACTGAAACTGTCAACAGCTTCAACTTGCTTGGATCCATAATTAACACCCTTGGTGACAGCAGTGAGGAAATAAGTAGACGCACGGCACTGGGAAAATCTGCAGTTAGGGACATTTTCTAATTATTGAGTAGTAATGATGTCAGTTTGAAGACTAAGGTGTGTCTGATTCAGGCCATAGTCTTTCTGATTATTAGCGATACATCCGAGAGCTGGACAATGAATACGGATGGCAGGAAAAGAATTGACGCCTTCGAGTCGTGGTGCTGGAGAAGAGCAATGAACATCTCATTGACGGGCAAGAGAATGACAGAAAGATCTTGGAGAGGGTGCAGCTGGAGTGCTCTTTGGAGGCAAGAATGATGAGGCTTCACCTTACATACTTTGGGCATGATGTTATGAGGTGCTATTCCTTGGAGAAGGGTGGGAAGGGTGAAGGGTCGACGAAGGAAAAGAAGACCCTCAACTAGGTGGACTGATATGGTTACTGCCACAACAGGCTCTTATGTGCCAGAAGTGTGAGAATGGAGCGGGACAGAACAGGGTTCAGACCTTTGTTCACAGGGTCATTATGGGTCACGCTTGACTCAACAGCACCTAACAACAACCGCAACAACACAGGAAATTGTGACTTAAGGATGCAATGTTAGGATCAGAACTATGCAGCAGAGGGTTTTCTTGGCTGTGATCTTTACAGAAGGAAGTCACTAGTCCTTCCTCTGATGTTGCTGAGTGGGTTCAAACTGCCAAACTTGAGCAGTGAAGTGTAAAGTATTTGTGAACCCCAGAACCTTTTTAGCTGGAGTAAAAAAAGCCAAATTGCAATGTTCTTTGTATTAACAAAATACACAGGCAATCCTGAGTAAAAAAAAGTCTGTCTTGTACATATCAGCATCTGACTTGAAACAGTCTTCTTTTTGACAAAGTCTTTTGTACTTGACACACCTTGATAACGTCTCCAAAGACTAAGCTGATTTTTTTTATTATTATTATTAAATTTTATTAGTTTCAATGAACATTCACAGGGATTCTGGGCTTTCACTCCTTCATTGCCGCACCATTCTCTCCACCCTCCTTCCCCAGTTTGTTCTTCTTCCCCGCCATCCGAATGTCTGTTTTAATTATCCAATTGCCACAGTGCTTGTCAAAGTCAGTTCTGATTAATCTCCTTTGTCGGTGTGTCCTTTGCCATTCCCTATCACTCCTCCCTGAGAGAGACTTCACCCTGATTCATAAGGAAAAGGGGATGGCATATTCTCTTAGCTGCTACTGTCAGTGCCACGTCCTGGGTTCCAATCTTGGTTCCTTCAAGATTGAACTCTATGGCTCAGTTTACTCAAAATGAGAATAACAGTGGTATTTATCTCCTGAGGTGGTTATGAGAATTTAAAGCATGTGAAGCATATAAAACAACTGGTATGTAGCAGGAATGTCCTTAGTCAATCACTCTTGCTTGAATGGAGCACCCCTCAGGGTATGGACCTGTATACTGAGTATATGCACAGAAACAAGTATTCTTCAAACACTGTTGCACTGAATTCCCTAATATCATAAATTTATGGAAAAGGAATTCCAGGATTAACACGCACAAAAACATGCCCAAAGCTAGACTAACACCAAGTTTCAGCATTAGGATCTGGGTTACAATTTCAGACTCTAAGACCAGGGTTATCCTAAGAACTCACAAGGAAGAATGAAACCTGCCACCTGTATCCACTGAAGTCTTTTTTCTAAGGCATGATAAGTAAAACAAACATTAATTTGGGCACGTGGCCAGGAGGAACCAATCCTTAGAGAAGGACATTATGCTCAGAAGGGTGGAGGGACAGCACAGGAGAGAAAGACCCCTGATGAGATGGATTAATACAGTGACTAGGGCAATGGAGGTAGGGGTATCGGAGTCAGTGAGACTTGCTCAGGACAGAGCAGGCTTCAGAGCTGTTGTACAGAGCATTGCTGTGAGTTGCAGGTGACTTGACAGCACATAATAACAACAAGTTACGCTTTTCTGAGAAAGACACCAACTCCAGTGTTCCCTGGCAGAGGGATGACTGTGCCAAGCAAAGGAATTTAAAAGTCTAGGAGAAACAGCCTACACACCACATACAGGACTTATCACCTGGAGT